TAAGTACACAACTACAAATGAAAGATCTCTCTGCTGTTTCAGCAACTCTGAGAAACAGCTCCACCCTTTTCCTTGAATTTAAGAAAAACATCTAGTCAAAGGGTGTTTTAGCTCATCTTAAAACCATGCAAGGCCACGATAGCCCTCTAGTTCAGTTACCTTCATTCGTCCTATATCAGTCAGGTTTCAATCAGAGAAATAAAACCAATAGGAAATATATATTAAAAGATTTATTGTAAGAAATTGGCTTATGCAACTGACCAGACAATACTTGCCTAGCTAGGCAAGTTGAAATTCCACAGGGCAGGCCATCAGGAAGGGCAAGTTGAAACTCTCAGGCATAGGCTGACGCTGCAGTCAGAAGCAGAATTTCTTCTTCTGGGAAAGCTTGTTTCTGTTCTTAAAGCCTTTCAACAATTGGGCCAAAATCAACTGGAAAGCTAGTTAAAAATGCAGATTTTTGAAACCATACCCATCTCTATCCCTGACCTACTGATGTATATTAAACTGGCTTTTAAGCTCACATATGCCCCCGAGTTTAAGAGCAATTGTATTTATAAAGGTATGTAAGGTTCATCTTTTATCAAAAAGATAAATATGTAAATGTTTATACAAATGTGTATAAACTCATCTTGTATCACAAAGGATACAAAAAAAATTTTTTTTCCACCAAAACTCCACTAAAATCAGGATGAGATAGGTATCTGGCAGGACTAGTTTCCCAAAACAAAAGTCACAAGGCCTAGACCTCACTGACAAGACAGGAGACAGCAAACTAGCCAAAGCCAGCTGAGACCAACTAAGACCAAGATGGCATCGAAAGTGACCTCTATGTGTTCTTTTTGCTCCTTATACACAAATTATAATAAATTAGCATGCCAAAAGACACTCCCACCAGCAACATGACAGTTTACAATCACCATGTCCACTCCCGGAAGTTACCATATGTGGTTTAAAAAGTGGAAGATCCTTTGATTCCAGGAACTCTCTCCTTCTTTCCCAGAAAACTCATGAATAATCCAGCCCTTGTTTAGCATATTTTGACAGCTATTAAAAGATAGCTGTAAAAATAAAACCCCAGTGATATACGACTCTTGTTCTTCCTATAGACCAGCCCAGGCTGCTCTGCCTGTAGAGCATCCTGTTCTCTGTCATTTCAATAACATACTTGTATTTTCCAACTGAAACTCCAGTGATGCACATGGGCTGCTCTGCCTATGGATCTATTTCTTTAATAAACTTACTTTTCATCTCCTATTTAATACTCTTGCTTGAATTCTTTTCCTGCACTAAGCCAAGAATCCACTTGGCCTCTCAGACTAAGCCCCAATTCTGGGGTTCACCTGCATCACCTTTCTTGGTGACTCTGGTGGGACCCAAAATTTGAGGTCCCTGGCCTACATCAAGGGTCGTTGGACATACAATTTATTTTTCATGATTTATATGATATGAGCAGCACCCCACTCAAGCACAAATTTACAGTAGCTACCTTTATAAGTAAAAAAAGTCAAAGTAAGTCATACACTGGAGAATTATCAAAAAGTATATGATTGAAATCTAAATAAAGAGGACTCAAGTCAATGGATGTTCCCAACCAAAGATCATTTGGGGAACTTTAAGAAAACTCATGTATCTGGAGCCCATCACAGATCAACTGAATTAGAACATCTGAGGATTAAATCCAGGCAATTATACGCTGCAATTATCTTACAGATAATTCTATTTATCTCCCAGATTAAAAACCTCTGATAATCATTTGAGACACCAACATAAAATTTACTTTTCCCACTTCCAAGGTAGTAATGACTCACTTGTTTCTCTGTAGAACAAGTTGTCAAGTGGATGAAAGTGGATGGTCAATGTGGTTCACACACAGATAGACACTGGTTGCTAATAAAGTATAAGCACAGTTTCACTAAGGACTTGTCTCTTAATTTATGCTACAAAAGAATCAACAGAGATCAACATCAAATACAATATGTGCAGTGGACTCAGCGATGCTCAAACCTGGACACAATATCTAAAGAGCATGCGCGTGTGCACACACACATAGTATCTCTTCGGTCATCTTTTCTTTTTTCACCATTTTTTCATTCTTGAATTCTTTGCTCTCCTTTTTCTACACTCTTCTTCAAAAGCCTTGACCATCAGGTTCAACAGCCTCCTCATCTGCTGATGACATTGGACCTAGACAGGTTAGGAGACTTGCCCAAGGTCATTCAGCCAAATGATGGTGGAGTCAAGATTCAAATTAGCTTCCTACTTCACCCTCAAGCTCTTTTGAGTACTTGCTTCCTCCCTGAATCTTGGTAAGATGCTCTATCTCTCCACCCTCCAAGCAGGACTGGCTTCTTGGACTTGTGACCTAAGGGTCCAGCCCTTACAAAAATTCCACACTTGGTTTGACTCTCTGTTGTCACTATCTTGAAATTAATCTTCTGACAAGGATCCCATATATTCACTTTTGCACTGGGGTCCACAAATTATGTAGCCAGTCCTGCTTAAAAATGAAAAGAGCTGCTTTAATTGTCAAAGAGAGTCAGCCTCAGCTCTGACCACCAATGCCCATCCTTAAGGAAATCTCAGCTTCTCTCAACTAACTTCTACCTGGACAGACCTGTGAAAAGAGGCTTTGTTCTCCAGGTATGTGCTAATTGAGATATCATTCCAATTATCCTTTGATCCTTGCTGGAAGTCAGAGTAATTACACTTCTGGTCAAACTTAGTATTTGTTAATAGAAATGGTGACTAATTAAAGAACATTTAAAAAGTTCTCCTTTCTCCACTACAGGTCATTTTCTTGAAATCAATACTTTCAAATCCCTTTATTAACATATCAATTATTATCTACTTGTACTTTGATGGCTTTACAAATAATCCTTGTTTGGGAAAACGTCCTCAAACAAATCTTGGGCAAACATTCTTGTTTTTCTTGAGCTCATAATGGCAGTATTATTTTTCCTTATTTAGTATGTTTAGTCATCTCATCTGACCTTGTCAGATGATCAAACATTGTTTTTCAAGTCTTCTTGTCTTATTTATAACTTAACAAGGTAATACAGCAATTGGAAGCATATGCTTTTTTTTTTCTTTTTTAAGACATTCCCTTTAATATTCAGGAGAGACACATGCTTAAAAGTAGAAATAGTTAATGCATTTTGTTTTAAGCACATTTTCATGAAACCATTTTAGAACCAAAAAACACCTTCCAAATCACCACACACAATGTCCTTATTTTCCCTGTAATAGAGATAGATGGTAGTTTGCTCAAGAAATAATGGCACAGGATGAGATCCCAGAGCTACTGACACCGTCTAGGTCACCATCTTAGCACATTTGTGCTTAAATCATTCCAAGTATGTTAGAGTGATTATCACTAAATATTACTAAAAAGTTCAAACTGTGACTTTAGAAGTTGAAAAGGTAGATGATTTTAATTGCAAAAAGGAAAATAAAACTTCTCTATTGTTCTAAAAATGAAAGGAATCACTATTACATCATATGTAACTGCTCATCAAGAATATTACGTTTGGAGACATACAAAATACACAACATACAAAGGGGGACCCCCCAAAAATGATATTTGTTAAAAATTGTGCTTTGTTCCTACATGTTTAAACTTCATTCACCTTCAAAGTACTCTGTTTGATGCAACACATCTATTGACATGCTTTTTTCACTGTTCAAAACAGTTTTTGAACTCATCGATTTTGATGCCTTTCAGTGCTTCTGCCGTTTTTTGTTTCACCTCTTCCACATCAACAAAACATTTCCCTTTGGGGACTTTTTCATCCAGGGAAACAAAAAAATGTTGCTCAGGGCAAGATCAGTTGAATAGGGAGGTTGGGGTATGGGGATTATGCCATTTTTGGTCAAAAACTGCTGAACACTTTGTGCAATGTGGGCAGGTGCATTGCCATGGTGGAAGAACCAGTTACCTGTTTATCACAACTCGAATATTTCTTTCACAAATCGTGATGCAACCTTCTCAAAACTTCCCGATAAAAATTTTGGTTGACCACCTGATCGGAAGGAACAAATTCTATATGGACTACAGGGGCCTGCCCTTCAAAATGATAATTCCAGGGTTTTTTGGGTCTCCCTTTATACCATATATGTAACCCTTTTTTTTTTTTTGAGTTGGAATCTCAATGTTGTTCACGCTGGAGTGCTGTGGCATGCTCACTGCAGCCTTGACCTTCTGGACTTAGGTAATCCTTCTGCTTCAGCCTCCCTAGTAGCTTGGACTACAGGCAGGTGCCACCACAGCTGGCTAATTTTTTTATTTTTTGTAGAGACAATGTCACACTATGTGGTTGCCTAGGCTGGTCTCAAACTAGTTTAAGCAATCCTCCTGAGTTCAAGCAATTCTCTCTCCTCGGCCTCTCAAAGTGCTGGAATTACAGGCCGAAGTCACCGCACCCAGCCTATAACACTATATTAAACCCTTAATATCATCATTGTGAGACTCTTTCCTAGGTCAGACTTTTCTTATGAAGTTGTTGTGACTGTAAGACATTGATTTGACCACAGTGTATCTGAGTCTGAGAAGAGTAGCCATGAGACGTGTAGAAACTGTTTACGGAACTACTAAGAGTCATTTGGACCTTTGGTCACCAGTGTCCCTAGGACATGCCTGAATCACTAACTTCATCTTCCTGATTTATTCTTGCTCGTGGATGTGTTTCTCACTAGACTGGGAGCCTCTTAAGAGCAGGAACTATGTGTGTGCTGTTCATCTTTTAATTTCCAGCATCTATCATACTGCCTGGCACACAGTAGAAAATAAATGAACGATTTACTATCTTATGGAATGCCTCTATTTTCACACAGATTTATTAGAGCAAAAAATGGTGCTACAATCTCCATGAAGGCAGGAAAATATATACTTTAAAAAAAAAAAAAACAAGAAGGCTTCTATGCCATGCTCAGTGCAAATGGTGTAGCAAATGTAATCAAATGACTGAAGAGTAAGAAGAGGCATGAATGTATTCACTTACTTGCAAGCAAGCCAACTCCACTTGCCAGGGATCCAATCCAGGCTGTTTTTCCTTTCCCTTCACCAAAGGCATCCAGCCATTCTACATACAAGACTCCAACAGCCAGTGGGGAACCATAACACAAAAACTGAGTGAAGAAGGAGACAAGCACAATCACCCAGCCCCATCCGCCATCAGGCGACTTTCTCAGTTCCATTGTAAAGAGAAATCAAGGAGGTGTTTCTCTGTAGGTCCTAAGCAAAAACAGAAAAGAAAAGCATGCTTAGAGTGTGGTGCGGCACAGTATTTTGTAGTGAAAGATCTCTTCCTAAATTAAAAAAATAAAAAACACTCTCTAAAGACATACATGAAAAAGCATAACATACCACTAACATATCAAGTGAACTGTTACATTTTCATTTACAATTTGAATGAATCATGCATCCACATGGTACCAAAAAAAATTGTTTTAATTATAAAAAAGCCTAGAGTGAAACGGTCTCCTTTTCGACCCTGTCTTCCTCCATCGGGTTCCCACCCTTGCCCAACCACAGAGAAACACTAATTTTGATTCTTAGTGTTTACTTCCTTGGGTTCCCTGAGAAGCAGACTCCTAGCTAGAAGAACGTACTAGAAGCGCTCTCAAGTCAAAACCTATGGAATGGCACAGACAGCAGAGGAAGAAGACTTGCTTCAGATATCCTTGCAGTTCTAAAGGCACAGATTTCTTCAGAGTTGTCCAGCTGTTCTGGTCATCGGGCTGCCCTTTCACAATGGACCATGCATCACTGGATGCAGCGACCCAAGAAGGAGTGGTGACCTGAGGTGAGATGGCTCCCTTCAAAGGAGGCAATCTATCCTATAAAGGCTATCAGCTGAAGGCCATCTGTCAGCAGCATCCCCAGCAAGGAAAATTTCATTCCCAAAGGGGGCCTGCAGCAGAAGGCAGCACATCACAGCACAGTTCAAGGATACCCAACTTGAGTATCCTTCCAGAGTTTCTGTATTCACATACAAGCAAAACCAAGCAAATATTCTTCAATTTCTCTCTCTCTTTTTTTTTTTTTACAAAAAATAGCATATTTACATTATATTCCTCACTTTACTTCATTCACTTAATTATATCCTTGCAGATTTTTCTTCCCTATCAATACATAGAAAGCATCCTTCAGTCTTTTTAAAAATAAGTACATATTATTTCACCATATGACTGTGTGTTTACTATTTACTTATTGGACAGGCAAAACACTTGCATGTTTCAAAAATGAAAAAAGGACACAATATATAAAGTCCCCCATCTGCTTGTTTCCTATCTCTTCCACAGGTAACCAACGCCTCTTGTTTCTTCTGTATCCTTCTAGAGTTTCTTTATGCATACACAAACTAACTCTAATATGCATTTCCTCTATTTTTTACACAAAAATAGCATATTATACCTGTTGGTGTTTTTCTATTTTTGAGTGTTACTGTAGAGAATAATAATTATATTTTATCAGATGTATTTTCACTGAATAGGAAGATAATCATGTTTCCTTTATAACTTTTAAAATGATTAAATCTATATTTTCTACCATTGAAGCATCCACGAGTTATTGAATCCACTTGATAATTATCTCGAAGATCTTTTCCACTGATGCATACTGACCTTCCTATCTTTTTCTTACTGCTACATTGTACTCCACTATGGGATTTTTATAATCTGTTTAACCAGTCTGCTATGGCTTACGATAAAAAACAATGCTATATGTAGAACCTTATATATATGTATATCTTTTTGCTTATAGGCATATCAGTTAAGTAAAATCCCAAAGAGAAATTGCTGAGTAAAAGCGAACGTATATTTGTAACGGAAATCAGTATTACCAAATTGGCTTCAGGGGATTGGATCGAATTAAATTATCTCCAAGATTTTGAGTGCGTTGTGAAATGTTCAGATTTCTGCCAATTTGTTTCTCTAAAACAGTGGTCCATTGTAGTTTTAACTTGCATTTCTCACAGTATGAATGCTATATGTTGTTTCAGAGGTGCAAATCCATTTTTAAATTCCTGTCTAATGTGCATTTGGTATTTCTGGATTTTTTGTTCCGTTCCTTGGTCTGTCTATTCATACATCATTACCACATTAATTTCATTATAAAATTTTTATAACATTATTTTAAACATATTTTAATCTCTTAGTGGAGCTAAGTTCCATCTCTCCATCATTATACTCCTTTTTCAATATTTTCCTGATTATTTGTGTTTGTTCACTTTTTTTTTTTTTTGAGTCAGAGTCTCTCTGTCACTCAACCTGGAGTGCAGTGGCATGCTCATGGCCACCACAGTCTCAGCCTGCTGGGTTCAGGCAATCCTTCTGCCTCAGTCTTCTAAGTAGATGGAACTACAGGCATGCACCACCACACCCAGCTAATTTTTTTATTTAGGTAAGGTCTCACCATCTTGCCCAGGCTGGTCTTGGACCCGTGGGCTCAGGCAATCCTCTCACCTCTGCCTCTTAAAAGTGTTGAGATTACAGGCATGAGCCACTGCTCACGGCATTTACCATTTTTTTTTTTTTTTTGGTAGAAAGAAGTTTATTTCTGAGTTTGAATCCAGGGAGCAGAGTTGGACTCGAGGTCTTTCTAAAATAGTTCTGCTCCCCCTCCAGGCTTTTATAGTTCACTTTTATAAGTTCAGAGTTGTTAGTACCTGTACATTAGCCACGTGACCAGCAGAGCATAGTATAGAACTTGAGTCTCAGCCACATTTATTGATAGTGACATTTTTTGGTCCAGACTTCCCAGCAGAAGCATTAATCAAGCCTGCCATGGAGTAAAGGGAGTTTATAAGGCCTAAGACATCATGCATTATGCAAAAGTTATACAAATCACAAAACTTATGATTACATTGAAACAAAAGTTATACAGCTCACAAGGCATACGATTACATTGATACTATGTTATTCAAACTTATAACTACACAAAAAAAGGGAGTAAATGGAGATTTGCATCTTTCATTTGATTGGGCGTAGGCTACAGGAAAGTCAAGGATCCCCTGAAGCTACTTACTGGGAGTGCATAGGAGTTACTGGGAGTGCATAGGAGATAAGGGAAAGTGCACCTTTTATTAGCTCTCAGGAATATTGCTCAGGAATGTACAGGAGCGCTTGAGCCCTGGCCATGCCCTTCTCTAGGGACTATGACAATATGGACAGACATTAGTGGGTCTCTATATCATTTCCCCACTCTCACTTGAAACCATGATATTTATCACGGGAGTAGCTATGTCATGCTGCCTTAACATAAACATGCCTATGGTTTCTTCCCTCGCTGGTTTTCATGCTGTATAGGCTTAGTTACGAGCACAGGAATTCTAACAATGCACAAAGTGTAACAGCTAAATATATTAACAGTGCTATTATAAACATAGTTAAGAATTTCCCCATGCCTGAAAGGAGGTCCTGTAATCCTGATGGGAGCCAAGAAAACATGTTGGGAAACCAATCAGAGACCTTTCCAGGCATCTTCTTAGAATAAGCATCTGTATCACCTATAGTATTAATGCTGGTTTCATTTGGCTTAGCATGGCCATGATGTACCCAATTCATCTAAGATGAAAGTGCCACACTTGGTATGAATAATGGCATGTGTGCCTCCTTGAGACATGGTAAGAAGAGCTAAAGCCATTTGGTTTTGTAGCACTGAACTCAGCTAAGGCTTTGATGTGGAGGGACACACTTTCCAGTCCTTGGTGAAAAATAAATTAAGGGCATAATCATACCATTAAAAACAGATCTAGACCATTGAGTGTGCAGATAGGGCAAGTTGGCTATCTTCACTTTTTGCAGAGTGCTATATTTGTGTCCTTGGGCCCATGGAAACCCCAGAGTGCATCTACCAATCCATCCGGGAGAAAGCCAAAGCCATAGATTAGTACCACAGATCCACCAAGTTCCATTGGGAGCTCACCAGTATACCCCTGGCCTCTGAGTCCGATCGGTGGCAAACAAATTGCTGTCCTTAAGGACGATAAGGTTTTGGCATTGTTCTTTCTGTTGTTGTTTTGTATTTGTTTTTCTCTTTTAATTTTTTATTTTAAAGATGTGGGGTACAATTCGGGGTTAGGTATACAAATGTTCATTATGCAGGCACCCTTGTTGATGAGGTGTGCCCCCTCTCTCCCAGCAGATTCCCGCTCTTGCCAATCCTTTTCTTATAGTATTCTTATAAATTGTTGAAGGTCTACTTATGAGTAAGAACATGTGGTACTCAGTTCTTTGTTTCTGTGATACATCACTCGGTATTATAGACTCTAAGTACATCCAAGTAGCAGGGAAATTCATGATTTTGTCCTTTAGGCATTGTTCTAAAGGGAGCCAGTGCATGTGTTGGGTTGTATTCAAAAGATGTTGCTGTTTACTTTTTTATATGAACTTCTGAATCAGCTTGTGTGGTTCAGAAGGAAATCTGGTAGTGCTTTCATTAGGACTGAGTTAAATTTAAAAATTGATTTCAAGTGAATTGGCCCTTTTATGGTATTGACTGTTTCTAAGAATATGATATGTTTTGCATTTGTTCAAGTCTCCTTTTGTGTTTTTAATGTTTGAAGTTTTCCTCAACATTTCATTTTATTTTATCTTTGTAGACCTTATCTTTTTATTTCATTACTTTGTATTGTCTTCTGTTTGTATGTGTGAAAGCTAATGATATCTGTATATCAATTTCAGATTCTGTTGTCTTACTAAGTTCCCCTATTTGCAATAGAGTTTCAGATGATTTTCTTGAATGTACATAATATACAGGGCAATATAGCTATAAGATCACCTACAGTGATAGTTTTACCCTTATATATTTTGAATTTTTACACATCTAATTTCCTTCTTTCCTCTTTGCATTGAATAATACTTCCAGGAAAATATCATATAATAAAAAGCACACGTTTTTGTCTAGTTTTTAACATTAGTGGGAATGCCTTCAAATGCCATGGTGCTACCTCTGGGGCTTAGTTAGATTTATTTTACAAAGTTAAGAAAGTATTGGCATTTTTCTATTTTTGAGTGTTACTATAAAGAATGGTTATTATATTTTATCAGATGTATTTTCACTCAATAGGAAGATGATCATATGATGTTTCCTTTATGACTCTTAATATGATAAAATCTATGTTTTCTCCTACTGAAGCACCCATGAATTAGTGAATTAAATCTTCCTTGATAAATGCACTCACTATATTAGTTTATTAAAGGGGATTTTTAAATTCATGAGTGACATTTGTCTGTTT